ATTTCAGACAGGTACTGGAACAAGATAAACAACTGGGCATGACCTGAAATATTAGTAGGTAGCCAAGTAAAATTTCATCAAGGGAAATATAGACTGACTTGATGGACAATGACAGAGGGTTATAATCCAAGGGTTCCATGACCTCCCTTAGAAGTCTTATGGCTAAAGCTGTGTACAGCCAAAATAGCCAAAATTATAAAAATGCCATGTGAACAGAGATGCAGATTTGACTTGACAAGACTGGATTTTAAAAACTTCTCTACACATTATTTCCTTAGTACCTGTTTTGGGGAGGAGCATTAGGGTCCTGTTTTTTACTTTTTGACCCTACATTATCTTTTTTAGGTTTTTTCTTCTTTGGCTTTCCTTCCTCATTTTCTCCTTCTTCATCTTCATCATCCAAAGGCACATCAAACTCTGGTTCTTTCAATAAGCCGAAGAAAACCTACCAGCCAATAAAAAAATCACACAAGACAAAAAAGTAATTGCGTTCTTACTGAAAACCAGATTTTTTAATGGTGACTTTTCAATGTAGTCGTCCAAGCAATAGAACTGCCCCTTTAAAGCTGCTCTGTTTAATATTACAGCATATATTACTGCTTGGCCCATAAGGAACGTAGTACATTTTCTTCTGGTTTACCCAGCCAACTGATCTGGACAACTGTTAAGTTCTCCCACCATCTCTTAGACCTTCCTCAAAGTGCAATCCCCACCCTACCTCATTTATTTGTATAGTACTGTGGTACTACACACACAGCTCTTCTAGTAACAAACTGGTAGCAAGTCAAAATTACTATCTGTTGTACAAAAGAGGAAGCCAAATAGTCAGGTGTCCATTTTAAAACTCCAAAGTAATTAATGAGTTAGTTTTAGTTCAGTGGGCTGAACACAAGGTTGTATCTCAAAAGGATTCAGCAGTTTCGTCCACCTGACAGCAATACATTTTGATCTCTCTACTCCTGTCAACACCTGTTTGTACAGTTCTCTTCCTTTCTTCTGTTCATGCTGTCTTTAAGATATCAAGTTATGATTGTCAATCTATATTAAGGTATCTCCCTGAAAAAACAGGGAGATTTGTAAAAAGCACAACAATCTTTATCTCCTACCTTTGCTTTATTAGCCTCTCGTTTTGCCTCCCCAGCCAAGCTTCCAACCATAGCATCTATCTGTTGTTTACTGCGAGGCATTCCATCAAAGATATCAATGTAAAGATGCTCCTGAACAATGTTCCAGATCTGATTGTTCTGCTTTTCCTGAAGATGCCTCTTCAGGAGCTGGTAAGAGTCACGGGAAATGCGCAGCACGAACTTGCTCGTTCGGAAATCCAGCATGGTCTCGTTACCTTTCATGTGTTCTTTCTTGGTTAAGCTCGACAACACACGCAGGTCATCCTGGTAATAGCACTCCTGATCCCCATGAAATCTAGTGAAACAATTTAACATGTGGTAAAAGGTTTAGTCACCCAACTTGTTATAAAACAGTTGTGGCAAGGGACATTTTAACTATTTACAGAACCACTTGAGGGAAACAAAGTTATACTTTTGGATTGAAGTATTTCACAATGGTCTGAATCCACAAAACAAATTAAATCCTATTTTCTTCTCAACTGATAAACAAGTGAAACATAGTAAGAGTACAGAAAGTTATAGATTAGCCAGAAATTAATTTCTTTAAGCTCATTTCAATGTACATCCTACGATATCAGCAAATACTTATAGCATTCATTATTTTGGCATCTCAGTGCAATCTTCCAGTGATAAAAACTGACCCCACAATCTTTCCCTAAAGATGCAGAATCTCTTCACTGATACTTCTGCAGCATGGAGCCCATCAGCACACCATTAATATGGTTCAAACTCTGTCAATGCACAGTTCACTAGTTTGCACATCTTTCTAACAGGAGATTGGAAAAGAATTTAAGAACAGTCATTACAACCCATGGCATTGTTACTTGAGATTTCAAATCTCTTCAGTCTCTTTAGAGAAAAATAATACATATGCATGTATATGTATATAAATAGCTCACAGATTTAGCTGAAGTAGCAAACACAAAATAACACAAATGCACAAATGAAAATGAATTACCTTTCAAAAAAAGACTTTGCCTCACTCTCATGTTGATTGTAGACCAATTCCAAGTACATGTGCACAAAGAGAGGATAAAAGAGCTGAGACAGCTCTGCCCGGTGGCAGTCCAGGGAGCACTCGATGAAGTGTTTCAGCCCGCTGTAGTACTCCTCGTAGAGCGTGGGGTCCCCTTGCTGGTTGTAGGCCGACAGCACCGCGCTCACGTCCGGCTGGTCCTCCACAACCACCGCGCCCCCGACTGCAAAAGCACCAGCCAACAACAACAGCTGCTCACACAGTCTGGAAGAGCCAGCAAGCAAACAAACAGCGGCCACAACCCCCTGGTCAGGCGAGCAAAACACGTCCTGTGCCCATTCAGCGCCGAGTCTAAACAATACGGCTGAGAGCACATCGGTCCAGCAGCCAATTCTCTCCAGCAGTTTTTTGGACTTTCCCTGCCAACAGCTGCCCACTTAGCGCCTAATTCAGCCAGGATTTTAGATGTAAAGGAAGAAGCCACTAACATCGCCAGAACGAGGTATTTTATTGCTAGGGCTAGAAACTCTTCAACAAGGAGCAGAATGCAAAACATTCCCACTGTAATTATTTTGCTTCCAGTAAACAAGCAAGTTAAGTAGACTAAGTGAACAATTCACCAAGACCACCACACAACCATCACAGAGCAGGGACACGTAACACTGACAGTTCTGTTCCACACAGCAGTTCTCACACACTTCCATTGTTTTGTGTTTTATATAAACACAGCAATATCTGGTGATGCCAGGAACAAGCTGACTTTATGCTTTACACTCGCTGGAACACAGACTAGTCATTCCTGAAATTCCATTATTCAGTAAAGCTGCCTCACAGAACACCTTGATTAACAACACTTAGAATTGAATTACCCAAAGGACATCTCAAGTACTCAGAAACTCGATAAAGAAATGCAGAAAGCCTCATCTACAAATATCCCATGGCTCCTTCACCAAAACACCAGCAGCCTGTACATCAGACCTCTGTTCTCATCCCTGCGGCCAGATCCGGGACAATCCCCACTAATTACAATGGAAACTCCTGTTCCCGCTACTCGACCAGTTGCGATGGGACACAAATACAAGCGGGAGCATTTCTCGCTTCACCGTGCTCCCTGCAAATGCGAGAGACAGCCCGTCCTTGGTCCCTTGCTCCAGGAGATACGCATTTCTCCACGGATTGTATGGAGAAATGAGACACCCAGTCACCTCCCGGAACGCCGGGCTAGACTCTCGGTGGCACCGAGAGCCTGACACCGACCCTTGCGTCCCAGCACAACGGAGAGCCCCGAGGCTGCGAGCAGCACACGGGCTCCCCGCTTCCCGGGGTTCCCGTCCAGAGGGACCGACCCCGCAGTCCCCGCGGGCCTCACCTTTCCCCGGCGGCACGGCGGTAACTGCAGCCACCCCGGGGCTGGAAGTCGCGACAGTGGCGACGTTGCCTCCTATGGCGACGGCGGCAGCGCCGGTGCCCCGGCCGAGCAGCGCCTCGCCGGAGTCCCCATCGCTGCCGGAGCCCCCCAGGAGCCCGGCGCTGGCGGGGCTGAGGGCGCCGGCACCCAGGTCATCACCGAGCAGGCGGGCTTCGCGACGCAGGATCTCCTCGGACTCGCGGAGGTTGCTGCGCCGCAGGAACTGCAGTACGGCCACAAGCGTCTGCCGGTCCAACGCCGCCGGCGAGGCGGCCGGGCCCGGCGCCGCGGGCTTCGGGGGTGCCGCATCCCCACCGGCTCCCGCCCCGCGGGCGGCGGCGGCGGCGTCCCCGCCTCGGGGTCCGGCTGCACCGCCGCCACCTCTGCCGGCTCCTCATGCAGCGCCGCCATCTTGCGCCGCCTTCCATTCGCCGGCGGCGCACGGCCGCCGCCAGGCGCGGCCGCCCTCGCGACAGTGAGGGCAAAGGAAGGGCAGCGCTGCCGCTGCCTCCACCGGCACGCGCGGCTTCGTTTTGCGACGCTGGCGGGAGCGCTTTGTGGCAGCGGGGCGCGGTGAGGGATGGCGGCGCCGCACCGGTGTGAGGGGCCGGGCTGTGTGGGCACGGCGGGGCTCCCTGCAGTGCAGGGCCGCTGAGCTGTCCGGATATTTCGAATACTGCTTCTTTTAGCCGTGTTAAACAGAGATTCGGTGATAATTGTCGAACGGCTGAGAGGACTGGGGGTGTTCAGCCTGAAGAATAAAAGACTCCAGGCAGACGCTGCAGCACGTTCCAGTGTCTAAAGGGCTACGAGAGAGCTGCGGAGGCACTTTGGACAAGGGCATCTAGTGACAGGACAAGCGAGAATGACTTTTGCAGCACGTTCCAGTGTCTAAAGGGCTACGAGAGAGCTGCAGAGGCACTTTGAACAAGGGCATCTAGTGACAGGACAAGGGAGAATGACTTTAAACTCATAGAAAGCGGGTTTCGATTAGATATTAGAAAGAAATTCTTTACTGTGAGAGTGGTGAGGCACTGGCACAGGTTGCCCAGAGAAGCTGTGGATGCCCCATTCCTGGAAGTGTTCCAGGATAGGTTGGATGGGGCTTTGAGGAATTTGTTTTAGTGGAAGGTGTCCCTGTCCATGGCAGACGGTTGGAACTAGATGATTTCTAAGGTCCCTTGCAACCCAAACAATTCAATTGTTTTACGGAATTAAAACCTTATTTTGAATGAAACTGGTATTGTGTGATTGAGAGTCTTTCGGGAAAAAATAAGCGTTCATTGGCGAGTCCTTGAATTGTTTTACGGAATTAAAACCTTATTTTGAATGAAACTGGTATTGTGTGATTGAGAGTTTTTCGGGAAAAATTAAGCGTTCATTGGCGAGTCCTTGGGGGAAAAAATAATTGGGGAAAAAAAAATAAGGAAAAAAAAAAAAACCCCAAACCAACCGTGGGGATATAAATACAAACGGGCCGTGGCTCAGCGCACGTGCGGTAGCGCAGCCTTGCGTTCTTCAGAACTACATTTCCCAGCGTGCCCCGCGGCGTTCCCACGCAGGCGCCCCGGGCCGTGGACCGACCCGTGCCAGCCCCGGTCCGTGGACATGGAGGGAGACACCGGATCCGGGGTCCCGGCGCTGTCGGGAGGGGATGGAGCAGGCCAGGAACAGGGCCTGGGCCCGGCCGATGAGGACCAGGACATGGAAGGGGCCCCCAGCTGCTCGGGGTCGCGCTCCCACCCCTTCGAGTTCGAGCGGGGTCGCTCGGAGTCCAGCGGCGATGAGGACGACGACGACGAAGACGACGAGGAAGAGGAGGTGGAGGAGGAGGAGGAGGAGATGGAGGGCGACACCAGGGCTCGGTTCGGAACGGATGATGGGGAGCTCGACTCGGACGACGACCGGGAGGTAAAGGGGGCGGGAGGGTGCCCGGGGCACGCCAGGCCCCGCTCCCGGCCTGCCCCGCGTGTGATTATGGACTTTTTATTATTCTTACTTTTTTTTAATTGTAATATTTATTTTATTATTACCCGAGTTCACTTCATCTCTCTCATTTAAGTGAAGCCCTGCAAACTCTCGGCGTGGCTGGGAGGGTGGTAGACGGTGGCTCGTGGGCGAGATGAATGGTGCTATTGAGGGAAAGAAGCCTTTGGTCGGGCTTTGAGACGAGAGGAAACGTAGGAATCTAATGTGTCACCTCTTTCAGACACAGCTCAGATCGTCGCTGTTGAAGAAATTTGTTCTTTTTTGAAATTCTGTTATTCAGTGAGGAAAGCTGTTGTGGAACTACCTGTGTGCATTCCTGGAAAATGTTCTTCATGACCGGAATTCAAAGTAGTGAAATTTCAGCCTTTGCCTCTATGTGTACTTGTATATTTCATAACTGTGTGTACAAACAAGAGATGACTGTCTCTTGTCATAGAAACTCTCTCTATATCTTAATTTGGGACTCCAGCTGAGCATTGCTGAGCATTTTCAAATAATGATGTAGTTTGCCACCCATATGCACTTCAAGCTTGCTGGCTATGTGATATTTTGTTAAAAGAGTTAATCCAAAAGAACTTTTCCCAAAATTATTGTTTAAAGTTTTCTTTTTAGGTAAGATTCATGAAACAAATTGGATTACTGTTGTCAAAAAGTTCAATTTAGAAGACTAGGAAAAAGTCTTCTAAAAACGAACTCTATATGATAAGTAACTGATCCGTTAGGAAAACCCATTCCTGTAACATATTTATCCCATTTTTCCCCATGGTTTTAAGGCTGTGGTATTTTGGAAGATGCAGTCAAGGAATTTCATGGCTTAGCATGTGTATTCAAACTCACCACTTTTTGTTTGCAGCGTATGATAAACCTCGCAGAGCTGACCCCCTACATCCTGTGTTCCATCTGCAAAGGATACTTCATCGATGCTACAACTATTACAGAATGTCTGCACACCTGTAAGTGTCTGTCAGAATTGCCTGTTTAAAGGTTTATTTGCAAATTCAAACCAGGTCAGCTGTTGAAATGTTCTGAGTTCAGAAAAATAATTCTCTGTTTGAAGTGAACGTGTGTTGTGCTTATTCTGTTCCTTAAACAAGATACATTTGTGGGTATTTTAAGCATCAGAAATTATTAAATCAATTAATCATGACATCATCTTTCCATATTAAGAAGGAAGAAGATGTAGGAAAAGATAAAGCCCAAGTAAGACAAAAGTAGAGCTACTACATACATTTTCTTAGTTATTTTTTTAAAGTAGGCTCCAGGAATTTGAGTGTATAACTGAGAAAAGAAAGTTGAGTGGCTCTGCTTTTAATGGACTGCAAATTTTCCTCAGCTGTTGTTGATGTGAGCTTATAAATTCACAAAACCCCATAAGCTCCTGTGGAAATACCAGTTCAGATACAGAAACAGTGCTCTGCACCCATGGCACAGTTTGTCCATAATCTGATTAGTGGAAATAGGTGGGTAATAAATAACTAATTTCAATGTGCTTGTCTTGTTATTTTTTCCCCCTGGATCCTAGTGCCAACAATTTTCCCAGTGCTAAAGAACTGTTCTCTCTCCAAACTAATAAAACACCTTCTGTGAAGCTCTTTCAGCCGTGTTCATACCTGAATCCAAGAATCCTGGTTTACTAGATCTCCCAAACATTCACACTGCATAGATGGAAAACTTTCTTTCTCTCTCTCTTTTTCTCCCCCCTTTTTTAGAGCACTACTCAGTAGTTTGTTCTATAGCACAAAGTGCTCAGCACAATTTGCAGTTTACAAAGAGGCACAGCTGTCAGTAAGGACAGCATAGAGTTGCAAATGCAGCTGTGGTGGTGTCTTAGAACTCTCCTGGTAAATGTTACGGAAAAGCTTCCTCTGTTCAGGCAGATGGAGAGCTGACTTGATAGTAGGCTATTTATTATTCTAGGTATTTCCACTTAGTAGCATTTTTTCTAAGTTTTTAAAGGACTTGTAAAATACAGTGAGAATGGCAGAGTTATGATTTCTTACCTTGTTGCTACTGAAAGTGTTTGTAGGCTGCCTTTCAGCAGTCAATATTCTTCCTTGTCCCTACTCACATTCTGCACACACATTGAACTCTCACCCATGCATCCATTGGATTAGGAGTGTTCAGTGACTTCATTTTGTCTCTGACAAATTTTTTATGGGAAATCTGGGTCTATTTACCCCTTCTGCCTGAACAGATGGCACTGTGTGGTGGACATGTGACTCCTGTGGGTTTCTTTTCTTTACAGTTTGCAAAAGCTGCATCGTGAGACACTTCTACTATAGCAACAGATGTCCAAAGTGCAATATTGTTGTACATCAGACACAGCCCCTCTATAATATCAGGTAATAAATTTGTCCCATTTTATAGATTTGCTACTTGCTTTTAAATGTTTTGTTCTACAGACTTGTAGTGCTTCCTTTTTTAAACAAAGGAATGGTTACAAGAAACACATTGTGTTCTTCACTACTATGAGTTTCACCACAATAATTAAGATTAAAAGACTCTCTTTATTGTTTCTTCTAGTTTGTATCCATTTCTAGGGTTTGTTATCCCTGCCCTGGGTATTTTTATGCATTTGCTCAGTGTTACAGGTGATACAAACACTTAACTATTTGGTTTGATTTCCTTTTAAGATTAAGACTTTTTGGCATGCTATATCTATTAACTCACAAAAGTGAGTTTTAGTTTCTTGAGCTGTTCATGAAGGGTGGTGTTGTCTCTCCACGTACATCCCATGTCAATGTTATATTTGGCATCTTTGTTACAGTTTACTGAAACCATTTTGTCTTGCACCAAAGACTCTTCTTTTTTGTTTGTTTCCTATTTCGTAGACTGGACCGACAACTGCAAGATATAGTCTATAAATTAGTTGTCAACCTGGAGGAAAGTAAGTCCCTTTCTCTGTTACATTACTATGTAAAGATTGAAAAAAACAGAAAACTGAACAATTCAAAGCTGTGTTGCTACTCTGGACACTTCAAAATAGTTTTGTGATGTTTGGTTATAAGTTGTAATGAATTAACTGTGACAACTGGCATCTTTCTGGCTGCTAAATGCTGTTGTGGTAGTGATATGTATTCTATCTCATGAAACACAGCTGTCACTGTATCCAGATAAACATGCAGATAATTTCACAGTTGTCCCTCTTACTTTAGTAGAACTATATCCTATCATTCTGTGTAAAAAGTTCACTTGGCTCAGCAGAAAAAAAATACCAAGACTAATTCTCTCAAATGCTTTTATCTTTTCCTCATTGCCATGTTTACGTGTCTGATTTTAGATGTGTTTACAATCTCCTCTCATTTATCTTCAGCTTTGGGAGCCAGTGATCCTGCACAGTCCCCCTGGATGGGCTGAGTAAAATATACAATCCAGTGGATATGTATGGACTATAGATGGTATTGCTTTGTATACATGAGCATGTATGTATATATAAAAATATATGTGTATATACAAATTAGTATAAAAAGAACTGTGCTCTATGTGAACAGGCTATAAAATACCATGTCATGTCACGAGGCATGACAGCCAGAAGGATACTAGTTCTTGCAGCTATTTCAGTATTATTTATGGCCAGTTTTTCTGATTTTCTCCTAGTTTTTACTAATAAAATTTTAGTCTGGGTTTCTTAAGCATCTCAGCCTCATGAAATTCTGGTGATGGTGAAGGTCTGTTGAAACTTGGAAAGTTTTTGGTGTTCTAACCATTGAAAATTGGTCAGTGAGAATAGATACTCTCAGCATCTGAAACATTTCTATTTGTATTCTGCATTTTTTTCAGGAGAGAAAAAACAAATGCATGACTTCTATAAAGAAAGAGGATTAGAAGTGCCCAAGCCAGGTGAGCTGTAATCACTTTAAGAAACACTATTAAGAAAACACTTTACCATATAATTTTTTTCTTAAGGGTTTTCTTTAAAATATTAGTTCACAACTGAAGATGGAAGTACACATGGAAATATAGGATTCTTAGTTATCTGGAAATTATAAATTGTCACAGATTTCATATTACAAAAATAGATGAATTGGCAACACTTAAACCCTGATCACGGCTGAATTATTTTAAACTACATATTTTGCTTATAATCAGGAAATATATATAAAATGTGCATTAATGTTATTTTCTCGCTGTTAATAAGTAATAGACATTACAAAGGAGTAAAAAGGAGAGCTTCAAAGTCTGCTAAACAGTGGGGGATTATTCTAATTATTTTATGTCTTCCTATCAAACAAAGCTCTTTGGAGAGTGCTGTGCGGAAAGCTATTAAAATTCTGATTCAGATACTCAGCATAGAATGTAGGAAGTGCTGATTTAGTAATAAAAAAAGAGGATTAATTGCATGGGCTTTTTTACCTGGTGAGCTATCCTGTTTTGCTCAGTGCATGTTAGTATCTTATGCTGCTTTTATTTCAAGTTATCTCTGCATTTTGGCTACTTGAATATTTTAGCTGTCCCACAGCCAGTTCCACCAAGCAGAGGAAGACCCCGAAAAGTTCTGGGCTCAGTGTTCCGGATCCCACCAGAACTTGACATTTCCATACTTCTGGAGTTTATTGGGTGAGTTGTGGGCAAATGTAAGAGTAACTGACTGACATGAGGGTGCTGCTAGCATGTGATGAACCATTAACTGGCTCTTGGTTTTCATTAAATGTGCATTTCTTCCATCTCAAATAATAGTGGGGAGCCAGTTTTAACTTACAGTGCAATAGTGAGAGCCAGCTATGCACAGGTAGATGATGCAGATAATTAAATGTTTAATATGTAGCTTCCTAGGAAGTATAGTTTTAAAATGTAGATGTGTTTTATTTTTAGCAAAGTCGTGCAGTTGCAGTAAACTGAGCAGAGAAATCCCTGTCTGTTCCAGTCCCTGATCCCTGTAGGTGGCAGCACCGTTAATGCGGGATCTGCTCGCCGGAAGGATTCAGTGGCTTTCAAATAATAGAAACTTTTTAATATTGTGAATCCATATACCTGCCTTCATTTTAGTTTTCATTTTCTTCATGCCTGACTTGCACAAGTTTAGACCTCAAACCTAGTAAACTTGTATTATCTGCCTGAGAAACAAGATGACTTTTGAATCTGTTATATTTGGTTTTTTTTGGTAGTTTTATTTTAAATGTCCAGCATTGGCATCAAAGCAGGTAATACTGTGTAAATGCCATCTATTCCATGTGGAACTGTCCGTTGTGTTTTGGTTTTTTTTTATTTATATGGAGGGGAGCACAGAATGTTTCTAACAAAAAAAGATGATGGCTTAACACCATCTACTTTGTGTTTTACTTTAGTGACGTTTTTAACCTTTGATAATTTATATGGTCAAAATCAAAGAGATTATCTTGGCAATGAGAGATTAATAAAGCATTCTGGAGAAAGAAAGCTTGGAATAGATTGGACCAGCCAAAAGAAATTGTTACCTTGAAAGTCTGACTGTCTGTGTTGTGTCTCTATGGATTACAATGTGGTCACCGGTGGCTGTGGAACTGTACCAAAGAAAATTACATCTGTAGTGGAAAAGCTTTTTTTATGTTTTTTCTTAGTTCATGACAGATTTACCTAGCTCTGTCTGATACCTGGTACATATTTAGAGGTGAAGATAGTCATAGTAACTTGAAGTGCCACATTGAGGTGTGGTCTTCACAAGTGTTATATTTGCTTGCTATAACAAATGGTCAGTTGATTTTTTGCCCTCTCCAGTGCAATGAAAATACTGCAATGTTTCCTCTCTCATATGTACATACTTGCTAATGCAATGCAAGAATAATGAAATACTGTGTATTGGCCTTAATTAATTGAGCAATTTGCACATTGCACTACAAGAAGGAGATAGGTGATCAGTGGTAGATCACGTGCTCAGGCTGTGCAAATCAGTGAACCTTGGCTGAAGCCAGCTGGAGATTTGGTTATTTGCCACCTTTGTATGTACTTCACATTCCAGAGAAACACATGCTGCTTTCCTGAGTTCCTGGATAGCATTAGCATTAATACTGTCATGTGAACAGTATGGAAGGCCAGCATCTTGCCCTGGGAGCCCCTGAGCATCAATATTGCAACCTACTCCTATGAAAATTAGTGTTGTATTGTATTTAAAAATGGCTTTAGACTGCATTGGGTTTTATTCAATTTTATCTAGAGAAACCTTAACATCCTAAATAGCTGAATTTACAAGAAAAAGGGAGAAGTACAAAGGGTAGGAGAATAAGATACATAAATTCAATCCAATCTTATTTTATGTATAGCAATTTAATGAAAGAAGGAGCCTGAGCTGGGAAAATAAGTTGGATATGCAAGACTCATAAATCAATAAGTCACTGTTATAATAAAGAGCTTGAGGATATTAATAACTTACAATCTTAGCAATGTTGACTATTTTACTCTTTTGTTTTTTCAGAGCTAATGAAGGCACAGGGCATTTTAAGGTACAAATATGATTAAATTTTTGTCTTTCAGTTTACTTCAGGAATAATTATAACCTGAGTATGTTTAGTTTGATTTTCTTATACTGAGTGCAGCTGGAGCTTTTATCAGAATAATAATAACCAGTCTCGTATTACAGTGTATTTCAAACCTATTGTTGTATAACATCACACCTACCCAGCATTTTTTTATGCTTTTTATCTTCATATTTCACAGTATTTTTTCATCATCTTTTTTCATCTTCAGTATCACCTCCTGCCCTTTCTGTCTCATATTTGCCCTTCTTTCTGCCGTGTTTTTCCTGGGGTTTTTGGGCCACACAGAACATAGGACTGTGTAAAACATTTAAAAAATAGTTTTAATTTTAATAGTCACTTTAATTTTAGCTTAACTCTGGCTTAAAATCTTTACTTTTTCTGTGCAGCCTTTGGAAAAGAAGTTTGTACGTGTTTCTGGGGAGGCAACAATTGGACATGTGGAGAAATTCCTGAGAAGAAAAATGGATCTAGACCCTGCTTGTCAGGTACATCCTTGCTGTAGCAGTCACAAGTTGTCCGGGCTTTGGACAGACATTTCCATTGTTCATTAGATTCTAGAAGTAATGTTAGAGTTTTTTATACACTAAGGATTAAAAAATGAATTGTTTGCAATTTTGTGATCTGCAAGGAACAACTAACTCATTTGCAGTGCAACCTATTCAGATTTTCGTAGTTCTGTACTAACTGGACAGAATTTCTAAAGTGCCTTGAAAAATTTCAGCCAATGAAATTCAAAGCCAAGAGATTCTGCTGTTTCAAAGGTAAAACTAGACAGGAATGTGGGAACATGCAATGGCATGATGCAAGCTGCTGCAAGGTGAATAATAGTAAAATTTAACTGAAGGCAAACAAGGGCTAAGGAAGAATTATACTATGGATGGATATATTGAAATGTGTATGAATGCAAATACAGACACTTTCCTCCAAATAAGAATTCAAAGGAGCAGAATATGGTACAAAAGAATTTAGCTTCATATTTCTCAGCCATTTTGAGAGGAACTGCATGTCAGAACCAGATTCCAATTCTTCAGTGTATTTCAGCAGCCATTCAGTTGGGAAAGTGCAAGAGCTCTGTAATGTGTGAATAATTATAAAGCTGACAATTCCTGGAAGATCAAGCTGATGTGAATAGACAAATGGTAGCAGTTTAGTGCTGGATCTGGAGTGCTGTTTTCATCCAGCAGTAACTGTGGGACAACACTGCATGACTGTGTGCCTCAGTAATGAGTATTCATGCTGCTTACCTTTTCAGTGGTGACAAATCGAATATAAATTATTCATCCTGCAGAGGAATTAATGTATTTTTATTTGCTGGTTTCCTCTCAGTGAGAGTCTGCAGCTTTTACATGGTGGTGACTTGATAGTCTAAACAAACACAAGTAGCCTCAGAATGAGGCTGGAGAAACTTCTTGAATTATTTAGTTGTTGTTTATTTGAGAGGAAGGAATTGTTTTGTTTGTTTGTTTGGATTTTCTTAAACAGTACATCAGAATCTCAGTTTTCAGGAACACTGAGGAATTATTTAGTTGTTGTTTATTTGAGAGGAAGGAATTGTTTTGTTTGGATTTTCTTAAATAGTACATCAGAACCTCAGTTTTCAGGAACACTGAACATCTGTCTTGGAGACTGCAGGTGTCCATCTTTCAAAGTCAGCCTGGGCCTGTGTGTTGGGTGTCTTTCAGATTGTAAAATCTTAAGATCACCTGTTAGAGAACTTGAGATTTTTTTCACTCATTAGTTACTTGCTTCTTGGACTTTGCCAGACAGGTACAATCCTTTTGGTTAAATGACTAAATGTTACTACATCTCAAAAGCTGGTGATTTCATAGGTGTCCTTTCTCAAGATGTTGCTTGATGCTGATACAGTGACTCCTATCTCTGCTAGTATCTGTGGTGTAAGGCACAATCATTGGCTGGTTCTAATCCTTGGTCTCTTCTGTGCAAGCCCTGCCTGTTTGGAGGAAATGATAAATCTTCTTTCTTCTACAAACAGATGCCTTGGCTGCCTTTTTTTCTCATCTTAAATAATGTGTTCCTATTTTTTTTTCAACAAGTATTTTTTTGGTCATTAGAAAACTGCAGTTGATTTTTATGCCCCAAGTTGTGACTGTTGTCTTGATATCTAGGCTCATCTTTAAAAAAATTGGAAATTCAGGAAATGAAGCTGCAAGTATTTCTTTCTAGCCTGAGTGATCATCTCTTCATATGGGGACTAAGAATAAAGGAGTGTATGTACTGAGCTGTTACCTTGTCATGGTAGTACACAGAGCTGAAGCTGATGGTTTGTTGGTAAACATGCAGAGAGTGAAAGAGACATCAGATAATGTCATTGAGGATTAATAAGCCTAATGAATCATGTCTTACTCCAGCTTCTCAGGATTGCTAATAAACTGTAAAACAAAATTAGGGAGAACCTGATTCTGAATTAGCACAAGCAGAAAAATTTAGAGAACTAGGTTACATACCGTATGTGCAAAGAATTTAAATGTAGAAGATTCTTTGCTGCATTTTTAGTTTGCTCTAGAAATTTGGAAGTGTTGAGGTCTGCAGTGGTTCATTTCCTGTCAGCTTCCCCAAAGTATGTTAAAAAAGAAATAGGTACTAACTTTGGATAACAGGCTCTTCCTTTTAATATTACTTCTTTAGTCTTAATTTCCAACTCTCTTCATTACCTAAAATAATCGATTTTTATATAAGATGTCTTGAGTTTGGTGTGTTTAGTTTGGGACAGAGTCTAAGAATTTGGTTTCCTTGGGAAGCTTGGAAATTTCTACATTTAGTACAACATTTATCTACAGAAAATTTATTGCAAGAGTGTTGAATTGTGTCTGTCTTGGGACTTTGAAAGATTTGACTGTAAGGAAGGCCCAGAGTGTTTCCTCTTTTATCTCCTCAGTATTTCAGTTGCATTTTTGGTTTCATTGTTGAAACTCCTTGTAAGAACACTAGGTGTGGTTATTTTGTGAGTGCAGTCAGTTCCTACTGAATATCAGCTTAGTTTGACAGTCTGCAAAAGTGCTATTTGAGAATGTTTGTCATTCCCTGTTAGAGTTGATTTGGTGACCAAGTGGTAGAAGGTATGTTACCCAACCCCTGAACTCCTGGCTCTGCTTGGAGATCTCAGATTTAATCTTTTCATGTGGAATTTGAGCTAATGCTTGCCTTTCTTCATTGACCTGCACAAGTGCAATGGATTTAGGTTAATGAAAATGTGAAATAAGCCATCTGGCTTGTGTGTGGCAGTATATATAGAAATCTAAAAAGCAGTTTTGAAGCTACTGCCTATGTTCTTTTTTTTCTATTCTGAGAATTCAAATTGCTTTCAGACTTCTGTAATTGCATTTGCAAGTGGATTATGATTTAAATTCCCTAGTTTATCTGAAATTTAAGGCTTCATTTTTTTTTATCTACCACTTGAGCTGGCAGACTGTCGTTTCCTCTTTCTGATGCTTTTTGAACTCTGTGCTTTGGGCAACAACTAATTTTCTGTATGTGTTTATGTGTACTTTTAATTGCAGGGTCTCTCTTGAATATTCTTGCTGGAATTTGTTAGGAGAGGGTGAAAATATTTTTTTAGAAACGGAAATTACCAGTAATAGTTAAATAAGTCACATCTGATAGGAGCTAAATACAGGTTGTGGTGTTTGGAACCCAGTAGATTCTTGTCTTTGGCATCAGAAGTTTCCTTTAGAGTGTGATTTCCTTTGAGCTCCTCCTGCAACAGCAGTATTCCTTCCTGCTATTTCTTCTGTAAGGATGAGAGAAACTGCTGAAAGACTTGCAGCTCAGCTGCTTGGAATTCATTAATGTGGCTGATGGAACAGAAATGTTCTGTTACCAGATGTGCGTTCCTAAAAGTGCGTGAACTGCAGTCTGGGGGGAGACTGGGAGAAAGGACTCTGTGCTCATACACAGTGTAGTTGTTGATGCAATTTCTTTATACAGGTCTTGGACCCTGGAATAAAAGCATCCAGGGCCTCTGGAAGTAAACAGCAACTAGAGGAAATGGGAAATTCTGACAGCTTTTTTAATAACTAGCTCAAATACTCAGTCAGTCTCTAAAATTTGTGTTTTCCTTGTCCTTCCCTCGGTAGTATGAGTTGGTGTAGAAAATATTGATGGAAGCCTACTGCTTTCTGGGCCAAATTCTCCCTTAGGATGAGTCTTATGTGAGGTGTCCCTTGTATGAACTTCTATTTTTATATCTGTCTTACATAGTGAGCATGAATTTATAATTGTCTGTTATGGTGGCTTTTAGAGAAATAGCTCTAATAGCAGACATGTCACCAAAAGAAAAGAAATTGCATAATGGAAAACCTACTTTATTTTAATAAGAATTTTAACAGAAGTGATTGAGTATTCAGCAGATTCACCTTCATGCTTCCTTTCAACAAAATGTCAAGCTACAGTTACTGCTGTCTCTGGCAATCAGTACTAGTTGGCTTCAATTTTACCAGTCATTTGAAATTTTAGTAAATTCATAGCACTGGTGATGCTGGTGCCTCTTTATAATGGAACATATTAATTCCTGTGTGACACAAGGAATCCTCTGAGACACGTTTCACAACTTATTTTTGCACTGACCTGAGTTTTTTTTTTCATTGAATGTTTTATTCTCTTGTCCTTATAGAATGAGTGCTAGCATAACAATTAGCAGGCAGAATTTCAGGCTTTGGGGCTGGAATTAGGAGATTAAGCATTGGGTATTTGGAGAACTCTAATACAGTAAATGTGAGAAATTCTTCTCAATTTATTATTAGACACTGGCTCTTTAATGACTGCTGTTTGAAACTGGAGCAGCAGGTACAACAGTGTACTTTCAAACAAGCATTCCAATTTTGTTTTGAGAGATTGTCAGCAGCTGCCACTGTCTGTTTGCATCCTGCATTGGTCAAACAGATTAGATCTTCTATTTCTGCAGAATATATAAAACATTTATGTGATATGTTTCATTGGGAACAAGATTGAGTTTTCAGTGCCTTATGCTATAAAGTTGTAGAAGTAAGCTTACAAAGCAAAAGTAATTAAACTCATATCTGGAAAGCAAAGCAGTCATGTTTGTCTTCCTGCAGTAATAACTGTAGAGGTTAAAAATGCATGGAAGGTAGCAGAAAGAGCTGCAGACAGTTTTCCAAAAGGAAAATAAATACATTTTTCAAGTACTGTGTTAAATACATCAAATGTTGATGTTAACTATATGAGTATATATGGATCAATAGCTAATCAGTATTTACTGTTATGTCCACACAAATTTTTGTTTCCTGGAAGCTAAAAGCAGAAGTGCTATTAAGCAGTTTACATATTCTGCACATTAAGAATCAAACACAAAGAGAGTATTTGCTTCATTCTCATACGATACAGGTGGTGCAGTAAATTAGTTCTTTTTGAACCTCTGAGGAGTAGAATTCCTGCATTCCCAAGTCTCAGAACAATGTGGTCTGCCAGCACAAATCTTACTAAATCTTTCCATGAAGAACAAGAGAGAGGTAGTGGGTCAGCCTGCAGAAGAAGATAAGTCTGGGGGAGTGGAATGGCTGCAGCACAGAGCTCATCCTGTGGTGGAAAGTGGCTTTATGAGACAATACATCATGATATTGCAGTGTGCTCCCCCACTGCTGCAGGGGCAGAGCTTAGGCAGTTCCCTTGCAGAAAGCTGTGGGGCTGCTCATTGTCAGTGCTCTTGCCTTCACTTTTGAGGTCTTGTCAGTTCGCAAATGAGAGCACTCTCATTTCCTTATCTAGAAATTGCTCATAAGGAAAATGTAGGCAGACTCCAGTTGAAAGAGAAAAACAGTGCTGTGTTAGCTGCTCTCTTTGGAGCATTAGAGACTGGATTTACATTAAGGACTGTAAATACATGGTAACTCTATAGAGAAGCATATTTTTCATAATAATCAAGGCAAGGAATTCAAAATACTGATTAAGGTTTGTGTTTTCCACAAAATTATTGTTTTTGTGGGCATTCACCAAATGAAGGTGCCCCATGTGAAATTGCAGGCACCACTGACAGAGTTCAGCTGCAGTGGAGGACAATGCATGGAACTGCTGAGAATGCCCTGCAGCTGCACCCCAGGAGTACTGAGTGAGTGCATGCTGAAGGAGGACTGCCATGTAACTGCTGACAATGGCATGCACCAAGATGCTCCTCTCTATTGAGGCACTTCTTCCACAGTATTAAGTGGAAATAGTCAGGTGTTTTCTCCCTCGAGATAAGGAGGATGGCAATGGCTCTTTTTTTTGGTGGCACAAACAAGTTTCCTTCTTTTGCAACTGATGAATGATGGCAGATGTTTGTGTGATCGTTTTAATACGTTATCTAAATTCCCATTAAATTCATCACAGCTATTACTAAAGAGCTTGTTTCAGTGGACACACCAAACTGAGTGAAACAATAAACTGTCCTCTCTGTTCAGCAGTGAGCCCAGGTCAGGGCCATGAAAGGCTTTAGTAGTGCTGTGAATGCTAAATACATTTGAAGAGCTGAGGTAAAGATGGCTGTAGTGTCTAACACGCTAGCATTGAGCTCTGCTAATAAAATTGAAAGGGCTTGGATGCTGTTTTGCTACTCCAAAGGCATAGTTGGCCTTAACTGTGCTTGTGTTTGTTCACAGGTGGATATAATCTGTGGTGATCACCTGCTGGAGCACTACCAGACACTGAGGGAAATTCGTCAGGTCATAGGAGAGAGTGCAGTACAGGTACGTGGCAGCTGGGGCTTTGTTCCAGGTTTTCTGTTTCAAAACAGACCTTTCTTAAGCCCTCAGGTAGCACCAGCTTGTCTGAAGAGGTCACTGAGAAAAATCTCTCCAGTTTATGCAAAATCATTTTTATCTTGTAAGTAGAGTTGACAAAGTGTACCATGTTCTTCTTGGTCTCATGATGTTCTGGATATGAGGGGTTTGTGTTGGGTTTTGTTTTGGGGTCTTTCTCCCCCAAAACAAGTTGCTATCTTACCAATGATAATATGTACCAGCCATTTTTTCAATTAACATTTCTTGTTTTTCCTCTCTGGCAATTGCATCTCTGCGGGAAATCAGAGGACAAATCCCAAATAAGGCTATCCTTGTGACTGGTCAGGAGAATAAACTTGCTTATAAAAACACAAACCACAAACAGAGGGTAATGAATGCAGTAAATTTGCTTGATGCATATTGTATTGGCTCTGGTCACAGCATGAGTGTATGGCCAGCTATTTCTTGTTGGATAACTTGCTGTCTTTAGTGTTGCTGGCTTTGCAAATAAGAATGCATTTTTTAAAAATTCTTTGTGAATCTTTCCAAAGCATCATTAAAGGAACACACCATTTTAGAAGTTCTGCAGAAACAATTAAGTACTCTGCAAAGTGCATCATTAAGTAGAGATGTAAAGTTGGGATATATGGTAAATTGTATCTTAATCTGAACTTGGGAGTCTGGAAAGTTAATATTTAATACAGTAGGAAGAAATAGGATTAGATCAGTATCTTATTTGGAAAGCAATCTTAGCAGATAGCAGAAGGGTTAAAATAGTAGCAAAATCAGCTCTCCTCACTTGTTTGTGCATACACATGCACAAACATTTACATTTAAAATTCCTGCTGAGCTCTCTTATGCTACAGGAAGGCCTCTGTGTTGGGGGCAGGAAGTAAAAAGCTGAATTTGAGATCTCTTGGACTTTGCCTCACTTGTACCTGATTTGAATCACTAGGAGGGGTCCCAGAGTCAGGGCAGAGGTGTTTGGCTCATGTTAATATTGGCAAACATTAAAATCTGATGAGACTTGTGCTGTTTCTGCAGTTGAAGGGAATAAATGCCACACCTGATGTCTTAGCTGGTTTATAATAGCATGAAGAAGAAATGAAAATGTAACCTAATCCAGTTTGGGGAGCAGGGGATAGAAACTGGGGGGAAGTGGGAACTGGTAACCAGCTTGTTTCTGACACTGAGTCATTGTAAGTAAATTCAGCAATCAGCACAAAGTGATGGAAGTGCTCTCTGCTAAAAGCTTCAGTAAATGGCAGGGGAATGGTATATTTCTCAGTCCAGAGGTATAGTCACATGTATGGTTTTAGACTTGAGCTTGGCACAAAAGCTTTTCATGTATGAGGAATGCTCTTGGGGGAGCACTTCAAGGAATACTGCAGCAGTTTCATTTCTTGTCAGAACTGGGTCTGCCTGATTGATGTTTGGTGATAAAGTACCAGTCAGCAGCTCCACGAAGAGAGCAGTTGCCTTGGGATGCATTCTCCACTGATGTTTCAAATCTCATTTATTACCAAATCAGTATGCTAGCAGTTAATTCTCTCAAGGCTTCTCTATTGGACAAATAAATAGAAAAGAAATACCTTGGCTTATTGTGAAGTCTTGTTCTTTCATTGTCACTTTCGATGGGAAGTTTGAAAGACCAGGTTCATCTTTAATTTCTCTTCATATTGTTAGAAGATCTCTATGCCAAATAGTTACTGTAGTAATGTTGCTTCTTTTTTGATACTGAAATAATTGTGACATTTTCATATTCTTTAGTCTAGCATTATAATATTTTTTAGAAATAAAGAGGATGCATTTCTACGATTAAAAAAACCTTGCAAAATATTTTTAGATAATTAGCCATGAAAAAAAATCTCAGTGAATGGGTCTAGTCTAAAATGGTGAGGGTTGTTTGTTTCTCGCCAGGGTCTGAAATTCAGTAAAGGGCACAGTTGTCCTCGGCAGTGAAACTATAAGTACAGAGGAACATTTGATGAATTTTACATTAAACACCAAGGGCATCTTGTGCCTTTGTAACTTTCCAGCCTTTCTAAATCAGTGTTGGAGTTTGGAATGTCCTTAACAGCTCTCACCAGAATGCTGAGACACTGTTCAATACTGCTGTTGTCATTTACAGGTTTCTGAGGTTCATTGTAGATGCTTCATGCAAAGAAAGAAGCTTCAGAAACTACTTCTGCAACAGAAAGTCATTTGAAGGAATAAACGTTGGGCTCTTTTATTTAGATGAGTACAACCACTGTTAGAGGAGAAAAATAGCTGCTATTCTGAGTCACATTTTTCACTTGCAAGTTCATTCATGTCAGCAGTTATTCTTTTTGCTGGGAAAAGTGATTATAAAGATGCAGATAAGTTTCTCTTTGGCAAATATATTAATTTTAACGTGCGTTCTTTGGTAGCATTTGCAGCATCACGTATGTTGTGTGTGATTTATTGTTCTGAACCATGTGGTGCTCTTAGTGGCTTTTACTTATGTTGAATGGTTCTTAAGATTTGTTTGTGAAGATTTTGGATGTTGTATTTCTTTTTCTTTTTTCCTACTGACTGGCACTGTGTAATGATGCCTTAGAGCCTGAGTAGGTGCAAGCTAGCAAGTTTTTAGCTCTTCTGGATACATTTCTGCCTTTCCAGCATGTGTGGGAAGACCAAGTGTGATCTGATGATAAAATAAATATTCCTGACACTGATCCCATAGTAACCTATTTGGGTTGTTTTAATTGAAGTAAATAGGCAACTAATTGTAATGGTTGAATGTAATCAAATAACATGTTCATTTCTGATGGTTGATAGAAGGCTAAAAAAGAATCAGGAATAAATCTTGTTTAATCTGGTAGATGTCAAGATATTTTGACATTTCTGAAATTGAGTGGTTGGTTAAGTCTTCCTAATTAGCTGAAACTAGGATTTCTAGCTCTGTTTAGGGCAAAACCATGAAAAAATCACTGACAAAATTTATATAATAAGAAATAACTTTGCTTTTTCAGTGTTTTAAACAGTGTAAAACTTGCAGATTTTACTGCAAGGAGTGATGAAAGACACTTACAGAGACTTTTAAAGGCTCAATTTTGTTACCAGACATTGAGCTCTGCCTGGAATTATGAGTTTGATCAAGTAGCTGAGAAAGGAAGCTGGTTATTAAGTAAATAGGAATATAACTTCTTTCCATTGTTACCTTTCTCCCCTCTGCTGCACAAATGCAACCTGATCCAAGCTGCTGGTTATTTTCACTTGTCTGAAACTGGGTCCTCTCAGAGTTCTGCATCACTGATGGATATAATGAGCTCACACATGGGAAAAGCTAAAAGGAGTAGCTTCCTTGATGTCCTTGGCCCTTGGCATAGAGGCTGGGCAGATTATAATGGTCTCTTTGTAGCTCTCACCTTTTTGTAACCCAATGCTATTGTGCTGGTTCTTTGGTCTCCCGAGCTAAGCAGGAAGAACTGTGTTCTAATTTAATTACTGCACCTTCTAGCAGACATTTCCTATGGAAGTGTTCTACTCTTTGCTATGGGGTTATTGCATTTGGAAAGTGGGGCACTTTTTGTTGTTGCTGCTCTTAGAACATCATAAGGTGTGTATGCTCTGATGTTTTGGGCTGTCAGTTCCACTCTGAAATTTATAGTTGGGTGTAACAGGTGGGATCCTTTGCATTTTTTTAGGTCAGGGTCACAAATGTGTGCCAAAGGACACTGGAGAGCTTTGCTTTTTTTTGTGCCTGTCTGAGTTAGCCTTGAGATTTGTAATGGGCAGTGGGAGCTCATTCTCTGTTTGCACTTCCTTTTAATAATAGTATCTAGAGAAAGCAGCTGATCATAGATAGAAATGTGTAATACTTTACAAGTGAATAATTACAGAGGAAGAAGTGCCAGTACTGGGGTAACTCTCAGCTTCTCTTTGTAGAGAAGGAATTGCAGTGGGTTTGGCTTTGGGTTTAACAGGGCTATTTCCTTTAAATATCCTACTGCCAAATGTACCAGTTCAAAATTATTCATCAAAGAATACATTGCAGCATTTTCTTCTTGTATAAATATTTATTTCCTTTAAGAAACTGGAAAGTAGAGGAAAAACTGGTTTTGACCACAATTTTTCTCCAAAAATAAGGTTTTGAATGTGTCTTATTTTCTCTTTTGAAGGAACTAGTGGGCACAAGGAATAAGTACCTTTGGGAAGGTATAACAATGTCTTTATGTGCCAAGAGGTTCCTGAGTAACCTCTTAGAAGCTGTTCTGCCTTGCAATGCTGCTATCCCAATTTATGCTAATCACCTAGTTAAAGCTAGGTGGTAAAGGATACAGGAGTTAAAGCTTCTGTATCCTTTCAGGAGTTAGCAATGGGTTCCTGGTTATTAACAGGGTAAGAAGGTGAAGAGACATTAGTGAGTTGGTACTAATGAATTATCTTATAGCCTGTGCCTTAACAGATAAAAACGTCTGAAGCAAAATACAGTAAAAAAACTGACATGTCCATTGGTACTAATGTAGTTCTCTCTTCAAAAAAGAACTTCTTTTACAGTCTGTCCATATAAGTAGGTGTAATGCAATGTCAGATTCCCAGTGGGTCTGTGGTGGAAGCAGACTAAGTGCTAGGCCTTTCAGCAGCTGCCTGTGAATTAAGTGACATAAGTAATAACACTAACAGAAGTGTCCTGTTTCACAGGTGAAAGGGATTTTTTTGTTATGTCAAGCAGTCTTTGAAGAGAAACATGAGTTAACAAACTATTAGTTTGTCATTTGAGGTTTTTTTAATCCAGTGCATTTATTACTTAATAAATGTATGTAGTAGTAGTCTGGACTCTTGTGCTACAACTTTTGGCAGCACTTTCTAGAACTACTTAATAGATTACATTTTTTTCTGCTCCACAATACCATGTGGAAATCAGCACAACTTGTAAACAAGAGCCGATTGTATGATGATAATGCCATTATAACTTTATTATAAAAGCAGTACCAGATTTTACCTTTTTTTAACACACTTTTCCATCTCAAAGAGGAGAGGGGAATGCAGTTATTTGCCTTGATACTTCAAAACTTGCATTCTCCATGTGGAAGGGACACAGTGTAAACTGGTGAGATTGTACCTGGGGTCCTGCCATGCAGCAGTTGTACCGGGTGGTGACAGAAATTCCTCATGGAGAAGGAAAAGTGCTGTTCTGAGACTTTCTTTCTCTTCTCTCTAGGATGGTCTGCTTGTACTGCACTATGGCCTGGTGGTGTCTCCGCTAACTTAAAGGTGTCTGGAATATCAGAAGGCTAAAGAATCTGAAGTCGTGGAGCTTCTTCAGTGCTGTTTCTCACCAAAGAAGCCATTGCATTTCCTGTGGCAGGAAGCAAGTGAAAGGAACCACCACTAACTGCTGTGTGCTTGTAATGTAACGTCTGACTTCACCACTGTAAAAAACTGCAGCTTCTGTAAGTACAGCTGTAGATGTTGCTATGCTTCATGTTACTAATTACTGTCTTCAGATCTCACTCAGCTCAGGGAAATTAAATGCTCCAAGTAGCTAATTCTTTTTTTTACTTTCTGAAACCACAAGATTTCGCAGGGTGAACAGCCTTTTTTTCCTCCATGCTCTGAGATTTCTCTGGCTGTCTGTCTAGCTAGAACAGTGCTCTCAGGGATGATCTTCAATGAGCAGTATAATTTGTTTTTGGGAAGAGACAGTCATTTGCCTAAAAAAAAAATACTGTGATCATCTGTCTGTGGATGTGATTTGGGGAGAGGAAGGAAACTTCAGAAAAGCAGACCAAAATAGGTAGAAAATAATGCAGCATAAGCATTGTTTTTTGAGAAGTAGCATTAAATTTGTTGTTTTTCTTGAAGAAAGACAATTTTGTTTGCACTGGAAATATATTTGCTGGTAGTTTGGCTTATACCAAATGGTGGATCATGCATCTCTAGTCTGAATGGAGATGAGCTGGCTGTAAGCTGGTTGAACTATGCATGAAAAAAAAAAAAAGTAGCACCTCTTTCTACCTGCTTGCTGTATATAAAGTACTCACTGTCAATCTGCTATCATGTAAAATCTGTCAACTGACTTGACTGTCAGAAGCATAAATCCATTTACTTTAGCACATACCTCTCCAGCAGCTGTGGAAATGGTCACTTTTTCCACTCTTTCCAAGGTGTTTTAGTGCATTGTAGTGGAGATCAGGGTTAAGTGATGTAATACCTGCCTGTTACTACCAGATTCACAGAGGATGTTAGGATGTTTAATTTTAACATGTTAAAATACTGGGTTTGGTGACAACTGTAACACTTCAAATTTTCTTCTGTTGGAGATTTCCATGTTGTCTTGAGCAGCATTAAGGACCAGAGGGCTCCGTGTGTTACGGTCTTGCTGCGTACTGGGTCGTCAGTGTGGGGATTCATGAAGGCTTCCACTGGGCACCAGGCTCCTTCCCTTCCCTGCAGTCAGTGCAGGGAAAGGGAAGAGATTCCTTTGTAAGGCATTTCAGAGCACCTGAGTCACAGAACCAGAGAATTGCTAGGGTTGGACAGGCCTCTGGAGATCACCCAGTCCAACGTCCCTGCCAAGGCAGGGTCACCTGGAGCAGGAGACACAGGAATGTGTCCAGGTGGGTTTGGAATGCCTCCAGAGAGGGAGACTCCACACCCTCCTTGGGCAGCCTGTTCAGTGCTCTGCCACCCTCAATGTAAAGAATTTCTTCCTTCTTTCAGTCCTCTTTTCCTTCTTTCAGTCAGCTGGTGAGGCGGCAGCAGCGAGTGGGCTAAGTCCAGGGGTGAGGGTTTGACTGAGCTGAGCAGGGGTTCTGGAGCTTGGGGACACCTGAGCAGCACCCCAAGCTCCATCCAGACCTGGAAGCCCTTGGCAGCCAGTCGGGCATGGAGGGGACATTGCCAGGAGCGTGAGGGACATTGAAGTGTCCTTAAGGAGCAGAGCAACCCCTTGTGGCCTCTGCTGGACCCTCTCCAGGAGCTCCTTGTCCTCCTTGTACTGAGGATCCCAGAACTGGGCACAGCACTCCCGATGTGGCCTCACCAGGGCTGGGTGGAGGGGTAGGATCACTTCCCTTGACTTGCTGGCCACACTCTTCCCAGTGCCCCCCAGATTCCACTGGCCCTCCTGGCTGCAAGGGCTCAAATGCATTTGTCCACTGGCAGCCAAAGAGGACTGGCATCCTCTGTCTTAAGAAAGCTTTCATGAATCCTCCCTCAGGCCTTTACAATAAACATTGTTTTGTCTGTGAAGGTGGCACCATAAGAAAAAAGAGTTTTGTTTGAAGTAACTCTCATGATGCTTCTAAATATGTGACAAAAAGCCTTTTTAGCTACAAACTCCTATTTTACCTTTAAAGTTTGTATAAAAGTAGTGTTTAAAATGCAGCAGAAAATGAGATTATTTTGTAAACACCTTGTGAGTTGTGTTAATAAAAGATTATATATTGTAACAGTAAAATAAACTTTATTTTAGCCAATTTAAAATTGAGCCCTTGTGTTTCTATGCCATGTTTCCTGTGTCAGCCTCAGAATTGTAGTAGATGATAGTGAAACTGCTGAATGTGCTCTGGGCTTGTTAGAATGACAGATTTCAATTAAGAGGCTGAATGGTGAAGGGTAATTCAATACCAGAGTCTCCACTGGAGCTAAGTGTGGTATTGTTAGCTGGAGTAACATGAAATCTCTGGGACTCTCCTTTTAATGAGGATTTTAGTGAGAAATAGCTCAGTAAAGAAGTCAAGATGATTTTTACATCGAAATATAGGAGAAATAATTGTGTGTAGTTAAAGGACCCCTTTTTTCATCAACAAAAACATCTTTTTGTGAAAGCCACCTCTCACTTATTGTCTCTCATGCTCATGGCTGTTGTTCTCGAGTCCCTGTGAACTGAATCTTTCTCTGCCACTGGAATCAAGGCGTGGTTCAAATACTCAGTATTGCCCTTTCCTTTTCCATTATCACTCAGGGGTTTGTTTTCAAATTTATAGCTCTGTGCTAAAAAATCATTATCAGTATAGTCACATTTTACATTGCAAATTCACCCTTAACCCTGGATTGAACTTCACATCCACAGAAGGGCTCATGTGCAGAGTTTAACAGCTGTATTGAAGCTGATAGTTAATTCAAATTAATGTCATTCTAGGATGCATTTGACTTGCATGGCCCCAAGAGGGCTGTGCTGCCACTGGCACTAATGTCAGTGTCAAATTCTGCTTTTCAAAAAAAAAAAAAAAAAAGGCCTCCTGAATATCTTCAAAGGATTTTCCTGTGGGATAAATCACATGCCAGCTAAAATGCTGAAGGCCAACACTCCCTTCTTCACCCTTTTGGTGGCTTAATGAGGAGGATTGAAGGCCTGTAGCTATGGTGTTTTTGTAATGAATGCTTAGTGACCTGGTATTTCCCTTTTGTCCACTTCTCTCTATTTCTTCCTCACCTGCCTTCAGAAAGTGTATTTTTAGCATAGTTTTCCTGGCTGAACATCCTGCTTTCTTCCACCTGAAGGCACTGATGCGTTCCTTCTCTCCAGTGCTGCAGGTCCCCTGGGGCACATCCGTGCAGCAGGGTGACCTTTAGCTATTGCCAAGGCTGAGCTGAGGCTCTGTGGTTTCCTGCATAATCAGCCTGCTTGCTTTAAAATGTGCCAATCTTCTCTCAGCTCTCCTGCTGCTGTTTTATTTCTGTTGGTCTCCTTTTAACCTTGGCTTGCCTCCAGCCACTTTTGCTGCTGATGATAGAAGAGCATCTGTAACAACAGGCCGTCTATGGGATGGCATCTCTGCCCTCGTGGGAGATGAGCCAGCCTTCTGCTCTGGAAGTGAGGGAAGGTGTGCTTGGACTCATTCATTATTTTACAGACACGGTTGTTTCTTTACTTGATGAGAGAATTCTGGTTTTTCCTTTCTCATTGTCTTCTTAACAGCATCATGGCTAACACAGAGCCTTATTAAATACTGCTTATAAATGCAGCATAATTCTGAGTTCTGTACAGACCTGCTAATTCCCAGCAAGAGGAGATGATGGGCTTTAGTTTCCAGACTTCTTATAAATGCAGAATCAAGCTACAATTAAGTTGTGAGCAGAGTCACATTGGTTACATTCTGCCTGTTTTCTTTGTGTTCAGGTTCAGTGTAAGAAGGAGATAAGGTTCAAGAGGCTGGGGAAATGTGCAGCTGAGCCCTCTAAGCAGAGAGGACCTGCAATGGCCAGGGATAGTTGTCATTTATGTCCTGAACACAGCAGTGCACCCAGCCTGGCTCTGCACTGCCACCAGACTGTGGCACACATGAGCCAGGGGAGCTCTTACAGCTCATTTCTATAGATATTAAACAACCAAAGAGTTTTATTGAAAAACCATTCAAGCTTGTCTAATACTAGTCCATGTTGCATTTATTTTCAGGGAATCATTAATCATTTATGTGCAATGACTTACATTAATACATTTTTAACAGTCACTAGGAAAATTACATCCCTGGCATTTCTGGTTTTACTTTTTTCAGTGTGGAATATCATTAGTATGAAATTTGTGGTCAATACAAATGAGTGGAGGGATTCAGTCTATTAAGAGACAAAGGAGTTTTTATGTATTGCATGCCTTTCTTTTAAAGAGATTTTTTATGTTCTCCCCATGAATCTTTTAATATACTCAATAGAATGCACCAAGGGCCAGCCTGAGTGTTTAGGTTCTTTAAAATGCACCTTTTAGGCTGTCATAAATATCTGCTCTGTCATAATTCTCCATCTGAGAGATGGAGAAGTGTTGCAAATGGTGCATTCTCTTCACTTCTGCTTTTTATTTCGCTTTTCTACCTTGTGGTTCTTCTGTGACACTAATTAGTTCAGCAGAAAGAGAAGCAATGTGGTCACAAATGGAATTTTACCATGTCATCTTTAAAAGACCTTATTGAATGAGCTAAAGGATATTTACATTGACTGAGGCTTCAGAATGTTGCCATGGATACAGCTTTAATCACTGGACAGGTTGAATTTAATTATTTTTGAGAGAGAAACGGTAATCATATCTGAGGTGAAATGCAGTATTGATTGGCTGCTCTGCAACTGCAGAATTCTTGCTGGAGCTGTGTCACCATCTTTATTGGGATTTAATGTTAAACAGTGCATTTGTGTCAAATACGGCAGTGGTCTGCAAAAGAAATGTTTCCCAAAGTGGAAAAGAGAACTTGCATTTTCTAATTGTGTGGTAAAAGTCTATTTGGAAATAGAAGCTTAAAATGTCTGTTTTCTTCCAAAGGAAACATTAGCACTAAAAAAGTGGGTGGTGGAGATTTGGCAAAGATTGAGAAAAATTGTGTGTTCCTGTGAGAGCTACTCTGGAGCCCCTGGTGTTGAGGCATCCATAACCTCTGTCCCCTGAATGGATTTTCTGGTGTCCAGTAGGGGAAGCTCAGCTTCTCAGTCCGTGAGGATGTGTCACCTGCCTACCTGAGAGCCTGAAACTGAGAGGGATTTGGTGTCTTTGAGACTTCCAGTGCTCTCAAAAGTGGCTGAAGTTAAGCTGATGAGCATAAGAAATTATCAGGGGAGGATGCAGGGGGTAAAGAGGACATGGAGTCACAGTATAATCCTATAATCCTTGCTTCCTTAAGAGTCCAGCCTTAATGTTTTGGCTTGCTGAATCATTTTGGCTTGCTTCAGGCATTCTTATTCATACATCTCTCAGGTCTCATTGGTAGACTAGGAATTTGCTAATGAGGTGTCATATCTGGGGCGTAGGGCTTTTTTTTGTTGTTTGGTTGGTGTTTTTTTTGGTTTTTTTTTGTTTTTTTTTTTTGCAATTCCATTGAAAATTTGCTTAAACTTTATGATGTTCTGAGCCTCAGTGCAAACCATGTTTTTCAGTCTGATCTCAGCTTTTCCAAATGGCATCTCCAAACAGCTTTTTCTTACAGACCACACTTGGGTCTGCCTGTGCCTCATCTCAGGGGATGACTACGTGTCTGTCAGAGCATTTACGAGGCTGCTCTGGACATCGGAGAGCCAAGAACTTGTTTTTTCCTTGTGCTCCTGGCATGCAGGCAGCAGCTGCCTCTCAATCCAAAGGCAAAGAAACAGAGTGACCCTGCTGTGGTAGGAATGGACTTTGGGCCTCTGTTGTTTCAGAACATCACCTGATAAAGCACCTCAAGAGCTTTGCTGCCATCAGCAAGTGAAATGTACCTGGGGCTCTGGAATTGCACTCTGGCATTTTCTGGGTATTTCCCTGCTGTCTAAGCAGATGTTTAACATGGACACTGTTCCTTCTTCATGTTATGCTTTATATCAGTTCTGGCCAGCACAATGTCTGCTTTAACAAGGATGTAATTGCTTGTCACAGAGTTGCAGGCTCATCTCTGGTTGAGCTGGGTTTGGGATGAAGACCCCTGCACAATCTGCAGGAGTGCTTTCCCCCCAGCTCTGCAGCCCTTTGGCTCAGCTGGAAGCGCTGGCAGAGACCAGGGTCAATGAAAATTCTCCCACCCTTCCCCAAGCCATGCCCTGTTTGCACGTTGTGCTGCATTTGCCAAGTGATCCTGATTCCCACAGGCCTCTGAAGTCTTGCACGAATGAGCTGGCGCTGCTTGTGCTATTTTGGCATAAACTCTGCTTCAAGTGTCAAACCCCAGTGATGGGGACATTTGATCATTCAGAAACATCTGTTTGGCTGCTGTGTTAGGGCTCTGTGTGGGTCACTCACTGCAGGAAGAAGCTCTTTATTCCTTAAAGAGGTGTCTGAGCCAAGAGCTGGCAAAGAGAGAGTAGGCTGGACCCAGCCAAAGGTGCCGGAAGAGACTGCTCTGAATTGCTTATTGATTCCTTCTTGCTGAATGACAGCATTCTTCTCCAGTCTGGAAAAGATGTTTGCATTCCTGCCAAAGGAGACTTGGGGTTTGTGGGTATTTTTTTTTTCTTTGGCTTACTTTTTAATGAATTACAGCATCTAGATAAGCGTCATTAGCAAAACTCCGTGTGCAGCAGCTTTGTCTGTTTTCAAGGAGCTCTACATCTCCACTGCATGGGCCAGCAGCTACAGCCAGGGAAAAAAAACAAACAGCCAGGCCAGTGGTGGGAATTTGTCTCACTGTGTGGAAGCTCAAGCTCTCCCCAGCATAAAGGTGAAGGAAATGCAGTATCAAGGAGAAATAGCTGTGCTCTGCTGCTTTCTGAGCTGTTCGTGCTGTCCACAGCTGCCTTTTATCCAAGAGGTTTTATAGAGGTATAAATCTTTCAACATCTGCAGTGTGACTCACTCCTTCCCTCTGGCAGCCTGGGTGTTTAACCCAGTAAGAAAGCTGGGAGCACAAAGGAGGATTTATTGTCCTGTTCCAGCTTATGGTTTCACTGTAGAAGCCTTCTGGTGCATATAAGCATGCAGGTAAAAGGAGGCACTCTGAAGCAGATAACCCTGGAAAAGGAGGCCTGAATGGTGATAGTCAGAGGTCAGCACTGGCAACATATTCAGCCAGGTCTGTCCCTCTTTGCTGTCA